ACTTAAGGATAAAAACTTGAGATGATATGAGCTAATACTATTCTCACAAAATTTTATGATTGTTACTTATAAATTTATATTATAACTACTGCAATTATCAGGAATCTGTGAAGACCAAGCACCCTCAGCTTCATTATGAGTCAAAAGTCTATATGCTTCTCCAAGGAGGAAGTAAGACAGTCTCTCTCCGTCTCACTCTCGTATGCAATTCAGAAGTTTCTTTGGTTTGATGCTAAGTGATTTTTTATTTTTATTTTTTTTATCCTTAGGAACTTATATATGCAATCCTATGCCATTCTCGACGCCTGTTACATATTTTGGCAAAAAATAATTTTAAAAAAAGAAGAAGAAGAGAGATATACTGAACCATTAACCTGCTATTCTAGCTTTGTAAACTATGGAGTTAAATGATGATTTGAATTTGAATTTGAATTTTTCTTAAATTTATGTCATTATGATGATAGGAACTACCGTTTATGTATTCTGTTTTATTTCCTTTCTTCTGGTTTTAGGTCATTCTTTTCAAGTACATGTACACAATTTATTTTAACACGATGTGTTTATAGAAATGTATTCCGTTGAATTATGAATATAAAACAATGTCTTTTTCTGACTTATTAATATCACAGTTGTTGATTTCTGTTCATCACAGCGGGCATTCCCAACCTGAAGTGGTTTGGAGTTGAGAATGAATACAACATCATGGTTATAGATCTTCTTGGACCAAGTCTGGAAGATCTGTTCAATTATTGTAACAGGAAGTTCTCCTTGAAAACTGTATTAATGCTGGCAGATCAATTAGTAAGTAGTTGAAGTGTTTATAATAGACTATGATTCTAGCTGCCATCTGTTGCTACAATAACCAACTGGCAATTTTACTTTCAGATTAATAGAATTGAATACATGCATTCAAGAGGATTTCTTCACCGTGATATAAAGCCTGATAACTTTTTGATGGGCTTAGGGCGCAAAGCAAATCGGGTAAGTCTCCCTTTCATTTGTGGGTCTTGTGCACTTTTTGGATTATATGAGCATGCTCAAGGTGGTTATCGAGTGTTTTCTTTTCAGTTTATCGAG